GGAGCCCGCATTGGTCAGAAACTGCTCAGAGCGCTCAGCAAGCGGAGCCCTGGAAAACTGTTCATTCCACCAGGTTCAAGTTCCATCTCCTTTTTCTCCCACTTTTCTCTCCACGCTGACCAAGCAGAAGCGTCCATTTTTACAGCCGCTTAGGTTCTGTGTTGGGTGCAAGCATCAGAAACAAAGGCCATGACTCCACCAAAAGGGGAGCTCCCAGAAGGATGTGGGAATGTGCCGGGGGCAGACGCTTGGAGGGCCAGGTGCAGAAGGTAGGGGGTCCCCTGCAAAAGGACCTGGCAGAAGTTCCTGTCCCCCAACATGGGAAACTTTCCACTGAAGTAAATATGCTCAAAACGTTGGGTTTTTTTTCCCTAGATTCAGCATCCTAGGAGAGCGCTTCCAATCGGGCAACCTTCCATGTCTGACCCCCCAGCCCCTGCCTGGGAACCAGGGCAGGAAAAGGAAGAATATCCAGTGGAAAGAGCTGCTAGAAAATGCTTTGGTTTCTATTGTGAATGGGCAAGTTCTCCGAGCTCACAGCTGAATCAAACAACACACAACAGGACACTGGGAAACCAAGACACTCTCAGGAATAGAGGATGCTGGATGACACCACCACGGGGGGTTGCAGATAGCATCCCCTATGCACAGCCCACTGGCACTGTGGTGTTGCAGATAGCATCCCCTATGCACGGCCCACTGGCACTGTGGTGTTGCAGATAGCATCCCCTATGCACGGCCCACTGGCACTGTGGTATTGCAGATAGCATCCCCTGTGCACGGCCCACTGGCACTGTGGTGTTGCAGATAGCATCCCCTATGCATGGCCCACTGGCACTGTGGTGTTGCAGAGAGCATCCCCTATGCACGGCCCACTGGCACTGTGGTGTTGCAGATAGCATCCCCTATGCACGGCCCACTGGCATTACACGTAGCCTTCTGCCTACGCTGGTTTCTCTGGGCACTTCAGGGAAGTTTCAAGTTCTCAGGGCCAAAGAGACCTCAGTCCAGGCTACGTGTCCCTCTTGCAGGTCTGATCACCCACCCTATTGTCTCTCTACTGGGGAGGAGGGAAGTCTCAGCTCCCCAGAGATGAAGAGGCTTCCCCAGGCCAGAAGCTGTCGGGCTAGGACCCTCCTCCTGGGGGGAAGTGGGCAGTGGGGAGAAGCATCTCCGCCGCATCTCCGCCGGGGAGGGGAGGCTCAGGCTCTGTGGGGATAGAGCGCTGCCCAGGCCACTCCTCTTTAGGACTCTGGTTTGTTTTGTATGATTTTATCGTGTATCACGTGGTGCTTTGACATATATGTACATTGTGGAATGGTTAAATCTAGTTAATTAACAAGTGCATTACCTCATAGTTATTTTGTGGTGAGAGCACTTAATACCCACTCTCTTAACATTTTTTACCAATACATCATCATTGACTATGGTCAGCTTGCAGTGCAGTAGATCTCCTGAAATGCACCCTCCCGTCTAACTGTAACTACGCATCCTTTAACCAGCATCTCCCCATGCCCCCAGGCACCCCAGCCTCTGGTAACCACCATTCCATTCTCTACTTCTATGAGATCAACTTCTTAGCTGCCACGTATGAGTGAGGTCACTCAGTATTTGTCTTTCTGTGCCTGGCTGATGACTTAATGGAGCATCCTCCAGGTTCATCCATGTTGTCAGAGAACAGTATGAACGTTCCTCAAAAAATCAAAAATGGAAATGACCATGAGCCCACTATGCCACTGGCACCAACCCAAAGGAAATGAACTGAGTCTGTCGCAAAGCTGTCTGCAGCCCCACATGTGAACTGAGTCTGTCGCAAAGCTGTCTGCACCCCCACGTTTAGACAGCACCATTCCCACTAGCCAAGGTGTGGAATCAACCTAAGTGTGCATCGATGGATGAATGGATCAAGAAAATGTGTTTTCTACACAACGGAATGCTGTTCAGCCATTAAAAAAAAAGAAAAAGAAAAAGAAATCTTGACACTGATGTTGGCAGGGCTCTTGATTAACCCTCCCTGGTGTTATGGTCAGAGGGACCCCGATCCACCCAGAGGAGAACTGAGCCACCCGGGGGACCTTCTCTGGTGAGGTCGGGGGTCAGGAAATGTTGGGCCTGGGTCACTTTCTTCTGTTGGATGGAAGCGGGGTGGTTCGTCAGGGTTTCCTGGAGAAACAGGACAGGATCCACACGCGCGAAGAGACTTACTTGGGGAGTTCCCTCATGTGATTACAGAGGCCAGTGAGTCCCATGACCTGCCGTCTGCAGAGCCAGGAGAGCTGACGGTGGGAATTCAGTCTGAGACTGCACGCTTGAGAACGGGAGGAGCTGACAGTATCGCTCCCAGCCCATGGCTGCAGGTCTGGGAACTGGGGGTAGGGCACTGGAGGGGGACTGGTCGAGGCCCGGAGTCCACAGGTCCGAGACCCAGGAGCTCCAGCGTCTGCGGGCAGGACAGACAGAAGTCCCAACTCCAGCAGGGAGCAAATTCACCTCTCCCTTGCCTTTTTTTTCTGCTTGGGCCCTCAATGGATCAGAGGATGCCCTCACATTTGTGACGATTCCTTCCTCAGTCCACTGATCTGAATGCTCACCTTCTCCAGAAACGGCCTCACAGGCGCCCCAAAACATAGTGTGTGACCAGCTCTCTGGGCGCCCCTCAACCTAGTCAAATTGACACAAAGTCCACCATCACCGGGGAAAAATGGGAAGCCTGCTCCTCCCAGTCCCTCCCATTCTGGGGGAAAATGGGGACTCTTCTCCTCCCAGTCCCTCCCGTTCTGGAGCCTCTGGCAGTTCAGCTTCCAGGGTCCTCCCTTCATCAAGTCTTGCTCCATTTCCAGGGCTTAGAGCTACACTTTGAAGGGATGGTCTATGCCATCTCCGTGGCCCCAAAAGTCAGATAATTTTTTAAAAACCTCTCCATGCTTGTATAACACTTAATAGATTTAATAAACACTTATCTCTTTGATAAATAAAAACAAAAGCGTAAAAACTAGGTAATGTGTCCTAGCAATGTACAAGAGACTAACAAACATTTTGTGACTCATAAAAGTAATTTTCCTGCTTTAAATTCACTGTCACCTCCCCCTAGTAACACCTGCAGTGTCTCAGAAACTCGCATCCATTGGAGGCTGCTGCTGCCCAGCGAGTCCCCGGCCACTCTGCCTTCGAGTTCCCTCGTTTCTAAAGCTCTAGCAGGAAAAGCTCCCAGGCGGCTTCACCCTGGGGAGTCTCATCCAACACCTCATTCCACAGAGGAGGCCTCAGAAAGGCTGGGAGAAAGGAGCCTCTAGCCACACCGCCCAAAGCAGGCAGAGCCTGAACTCAGCCTCAGGCCACTGACACAGGCTCCAGCCTCCAGGCATCGCTGCCGGCACCACAGGGATGCAGAGCCCCCAGGTCTCCTGGAACTGTACATCCCCCCCCCATCCCATGGGCTCTGTCCCCACTTCCCCCAGACCCCACAGTGGGGAAGCACTCAGTGCCTGGCTCTCCAGGAGCCCACGTCTCCTCCCTGATGATGACGTCCCTCCCACAAAGGATCTCTGAGCCGCAGCCTCCATCAGACAATATGTTGCGGAATATTTGGGGCCCTTTTGTCTTCCACTCCCTCGGAAGCCATAGCAGCCAGGGTCGCTTCATTTACTCGCATCGCTGCCCCCGATTCTCGGCTGGAAGACACTGGCTGCTGGCTACCGTAAGCAGCAGACGCCACCATGCTGGCAGCGAGGCATCTCCTGCAGAGAGGATTTACCTCTGTAGCCTGGGCTAGGACCTTCAGGAAGCCTGCACAGCCTCGATTTAGGAAGCCCTTTGCCTTTAAATACACTGACTGCTTTCTCCTTCAACAGCTCGCGTCCGGCCGCAGCATACATGTGCTGTGGAGTCTTGGATTCTGGTCTGCAAGGCTCTCAGTTGTACACCTGACAAGCAGCTCAGGCCCAGCAAGCAGGACACAGAACCCATGTCCACCCACTGCCTGTTACACAATGGCTGGGGTTGAAAAAGTTCTCTGTCATGCAGGGCACCTGCAAGAGAGGACCCCAGGCCTAAGAAGTTGCTTTGCAAGTAGAAAGTTGGAGAAAACCAGCTGGCTGCGGGATTAATGCCTGAAACAGGTGCGATGCGTCCTCTGAGAAGCATGTCCTGGATAGTTAAGAAGTCATGAGTCCCTGCCCTGAAGAGCCCATAGGGCCTGCAGGGATCTGGGCAGCAGACCCGAGTCCTCCAGAGACAGCGTGCCAGGGCACGTGTTTGGACATCACACGGCGCAGCTCAGAGTTACGCAAGGTCACCTCTCTGGGACAGAGAGGTGGCCTCCAAGGACAGCAGGTGCTTGGACTGACCTGTGTCTGGCCCAGACTGGAGAAGAGACCGCCACCTGTTCCCTCCATCAGCCTCACCTTCCATGGTTGAAAACAGGCCTTCAGAGGGCCTAGTACCGCCCCGGGTGTTTCAGTTGGCCAGGGGATCTGGCTTTTGGCTTTTTCGTAAAGCATCACGTTCTCTCTCATGTATGAATATTTACTTGGCTTGGACAAGCCCTCGGGCCAGGAGTTGAAAGGTCACAGTGCATGAGCTGCTCTGCTGTGTGCAAAGCCCAATCCAGACAAAGTTTGGCCTGGCTGCTGGATTAATGAAAAGCCACCCTGGGTTTGGGGGTCCCCAGCCCAGCCCCTGGGACCACCCAGTCTGGGGTATTCTGAACAGCAACCCAAGCTAAGAGAGCACATTATGGAAAAATGGTGTTTTTTAAAATAAGTTTTAAAACACCATCTTGACAGGATGGTGAAGACCATGATGGGAAGACATCAGAGGAAACAGTGTAAATGCAAAACCGGGAGAAACCGGGAGGAGCTTGTCAAACACAGCTCTATGACTTAAACAACTGGCTTCCCTGGTAACCAAACCGCGCTGACATCACAGCAGGCTCCCCTGGATGCAGACCCTGGTACCTTATTCTGGGCTTAGACCCCATCAGGGTGAAGCAAGGTACATAGCCTGCAGGGCTGAGCTGGGATCTGTCACTTGTAATATAGGAGTCCGGATGGGTGAAACAGCTTCTCCTTTCCCTCCACCCTCCCCCAAGTCCAGAACCTCCCGGGTAACCCCTGATGATTACACAGCCCCCACCTAGTCTCCAGTGCCCCGTAGTCGCCACCTGCACCAGGTTACTTAGACCCTGGGTTACCACTCACCAGCTGTTTCTCCCTGGCCTTCCCTTGGTACACATTCCCCAGCTCCCCGGCTGGCAAGGATGACTAGGTGACATTTTTGACCTCACGAATGTCCTTTGGAAAGTCACATCTGTCAGAATCCAGGGCAAAACGAAGGCCATGCCTGGTGAGTAAGGAGGGGATGGGACGAAGGGAGAGTTGACAGCAGTGCTGGTGGGTTGCAGAGGCCAGCAAGGCGGAGGACACTGTAACTGTGGGATCTGCAACCGCCCCACTGGAGGGCCAGTGGGCAACCCATAGACACCCCTGCCACAATCTCCAGGCTCCTGCTGCGACCTCATCGGCCAAGCCACCTGGAAGCCATGGGGCAAGAGAACCTGAGTGAGGAAGTCCAGCGCGCCCAGCCCCCCACCCCACGGGCAGAGGACAGCACAGAAGCAGGTAGAGGGTGGATCTGGGAGGCAAGCAGGGAACACCTAGCACAGACTTCTCCCTTTCTTAAGATTCAGTCTCGGCCTGGCACAGTGGCTCATGCCTGTTATCCTAGCACTTTGGGAGGCCGAGCCAGGTGGATTACAAGGTCAGGAGATCGAGACCATCCTGGCCAACGTGGTGAAACCCCATCTCTACTAAAAATGCAAACATTAGCTAAGTGTGGTGGCGGGTGCCTGTGATCCCAGCTACTTGGGAGGCTGAGGCAGGAGAACCACTTGAACCTGGGAGGCGGAGGCTGCAGCGAGCCAAGATCGCACCACTGCACTCCAGCCTGGGCGACAGAGCGAGACTCTGTAAAAAAAAAAAAAAAACAAACAAAAAAACAAAAAAACAAAACACAACTCAGTCTCATTAAGGGACAACCCTCATCGGCCTTTTCCGTTCTTCCCGCCTGGGATGCAGGCACGATGCCAGAAGGTGCGACAGCCACCACAGGACCCCAACGATAACAGAGAGGGAGAGAGGCAGGGTCCTTTCAGACCTCATGCCACCCTGCAATGGTGGCCTCTGACTTTCTGCATGAGAAAAGTGAGGCCGGTCTCTGCAGGGCAGTGTTAGCAGGTTCTATCGTTACTTACAGCTGAACGCCGTCCTACCTGATGCAACAGGCTGGCCTACACGTTATGTTTTACAGCACTTCGGACTCGGTAACACAGTTGCACGTATACTATGTGATTGGAAGCAGAAGAAATCAATGCCATTGCTCCCATTCCTTAAAGAGCACAATAAAGAAACAGAAGTTACTTACAGCCAAGGACTAACGCCAGTTGGGGCAGCACCCCCAGGAATCAGCAAAAACCAAGTGATTAATTACCAACATGGTACCCAACCTCCCTTATCCTCAGAAGATGTTCAGTGAGCAATGTAAACAAACCGACAATGTTCCCTATGCTCTAACAACACAGCACTCCTCACACGTTAGATATGGAAAAACTGAGGCACCGTATCAGCGAGCACTGGGGTGTAAGGAAAAAGGAAAAGGCCGCTCCATACAGAACCAGTGGGAATGTTGATGCTTGGAGTCTTTCTGAGAAGCAGTCTCTCAGAGGTGTAATTAAAAAGCATAGACACAGATTCTGACCCAGAGATTCCCAGAAATAGATTCCATAGAATAAAAAGCACAAGAACATGTGCATGAAGATCTTTAGCATAGCGCTGACGAGGCAAAGGAAAACGGGGAAATCTTGCCGGTCTGCATAGGGACATCTTCTCATGGTGGTCAAATAAAATTGTGGTGTATCCGTGCCACAGATTACAATGAAGCAATGCAAAATCACAAGTTAGAATTCTATGTGTTGACATGAAAAACGTTCATGACGCACTTTTGAGTAAAACAAGTTATTGAATACCTGTATACAAAAATATATATGTACATAAGATACATATATAAAAATATGCATATATGATACGTGTATTCTATATGTACTTTGTAAAACGTTTTATAAAATATTTACATACATATTTTTGATAATTTGTGTGTCCAGTCCTCTTCAAATGTGTAGGTATGAAATGAGACAGCTTGGACAGCTCCCTGTTTGGCAGGAAACGTGCAGATGCTGAGTGTGTATTTATGTATGTGCATAAATACACGTGTATATGTGTATATATGTGTATTATGTATATATAATTATATAGACATAATTATGCATATATGTATAATTATGCATATATTATACTGTGTATATCATATATAATATAATGTATATATTACAATAGCACAACATATAATATACATTATATATTACATACATATATGTATATATGTACATATAATTACATATAATGTGTATATATGATATACATACCTATATACAAACATATATAGATTTTTTTTTTTTTTTTTGAGATGGAGTCTCACTCTGTCGCCCAGGCTGGAGTGCAGTGGCACGATCTTGGCTCACTGCAACCTCCACCTCCCGGGTTCAAGCAATTCTCCCATCTCAGCCTCCGGAGTAGCTGAGATTACAGGCACCTGCCACCACACCTGGCTAATTTTTGTGTTTTTAGTAGAGATGGGTTTTCACCATGTTGGCCAGACTGGTTTCAAACTCCTGGCCTCAAGTGATCCGCCTGCCGCAGCCTCCCCAAAGTGCTGGGATTACAGGTGTGAGCCACTGGGCCTAGTCTATATTCTCATTTTAATAAACCAACAACCCCCGCAAGGCCTAGCTGTGGGGATACAGGTGTTTGTCTTTGATTATAGACAGGGAGAAAGGGGTGGAGGGACATGCATTGCTTACCTGGGCTATGGAATGTGATACTGTACAAGAATTAGGAGAGGAGAATTAAGAAAACCAATGCCCACTAAGTTTAAACAGCACCATTTTTCATCAACAGTGACAGGTATTTTCCTGTGGTGGTGGGCACAGGTTTCAAACCTCTGCCATCATGCTTGGAAGCCCCCCCAAGCCCACCCAGACAAGCTATGTGGAGAGGTCCCTGTATGCCCCTTAGGTGCCTCCCTGACCCTCCTGCTCCAGGAGGGGACGTGATCTGGACAACAGCGTTTGCTTTCTCACCTCTAGCAGGCACCAGTCTCCCTGCCTGGCAGGAGAGTGACGCAGTTGGATGAACACACCCCCCAGCCTTTTGCATTCTTAAACCTGCATGCTGGGCTCTGTGTCCAAGAGCAAGGACGTCTCATCTTACAGATCACAACGTTCCGCCTGCACGTTTCCCACCAGACGAATGGGGAGCTGTTCACGGTGTCCCCTTTCATCCCCAGACATCTGAAGACGACGACTAGACACATGCCACGTTCTGTCTCTGGTTTCCCGCTCTCCTCTCCTTTCTCACCCCATCTGTTCTCCCCCCATGTCTCTTTCTCTTCCTCCCCTGTCTTGCTCCCTCCTCTTCTCTCCTTATTTCTGCCTCCCCTATTTCTCTCTCCTCCTCTCAGCTTCTCTGACTGTTGCCATTTTCAGCTGGGCTCCTGGCTCGGGTCAGTGCAGAATCACCTGAGCCACTACCACAGTTGCGAATCCCTTCTTGAGGGCTTGCCGATTTCTCCTCAAACCTTCTACAAGGCAGGATTATATTTAAACCCATTTAAGACCTAAGGAAGCTGAGGCATAGAAAAAGCCACCCAACCCATCAGCCATGTCTACTGAGTGCCCATATGTGCAGGACACCGTCCTAGGAGACAATGAATGAGATAGAGGTTAAGGCACCTTCCCAATCCCGCACCTTCCCAGCTCATCAAGGCAGAGCCCAGGGCTGGCAGGAAGACGTGAATGTCCCGAGATGGAGTCAGTACAGTGTTCTGGAGTCTGTCCCAGTGACAGGAGAGCTCCTTCTACATCTCCATATGGCAGCCAGGAAAGAGCTTGGCCACGCACAAGCAGGACCATAGGAAGAAGTCAGAGGGTGACTTTGGTTTCCAGCACAGAGGTCTGGAGAGCTCTGCCAGAGGCCTGAGCAGAAAGGAAAGATTTTCGGGGACTGCTTATGTGGGCTGTGGATCCCCACAACATGGCCTTGGCGTCAGCTGCTGACCTGAAGTTGGGGTGCAGGGGCCCCCTTCCTCTGCAGAGTCCCCCATGTTCCACTGATGAGAGGTTCCACCCCATCTCTCATTTTTCCAGGACCCCCAGCCTTATACCTCATGTTCTGAGAGCTTCCTGTGGGCCAGGCCTGGTGCTGAGACCCTACCAGTCTCTTCTGTTTCATTGTCACCAATAACCCCCACCACCCCACCCCCGGGCCCGAGTTAGTGCTGCCACCTCCATCCAGCATACAAGGATGCAAAGGCTTAAACCAGAGCCCAGGCCCACACCCTGCAGCTGGGAGCTGCTGGACCAGGCTTGGGACCCAGGTCTGTCCTCATGCACATGGTGTCATCCCTGCCCTCTTGGCTCTCACTGACATTTCCTTTCCCTCCTCACTGGAAGGAGTGAGTCACCATCTCCCTTCACCAGACTCCACTTTTTTCCTAGCACACATTGCCCTGGGGCACCAACAGAGTCCAATCAATGCTCTGGCCCCACAGGCCGAGGCCAGCTCCAGCTCCAGGCAGAAATGACAAGTAGGTGTCACCTGACACTGGCTTTAGTTACTGCTAGAGGCTGCTTAGCAGGAGGTATTGAGAAGGGCTTGGAGGAGGCCTTTCCTTTAGCAAAGGTGGGCTGCTTCCTGTTTCAGCTGAAGCTTCAGAAAGTAACAGAGAGGGCCTTGGACTGAGTGTCTGACCTGACGCTAAGCAGCCCAGCACTTCGGTCCTCAAAGGTCCGCAGATGCACCCCAATTCTGAACTCACAGAATGCACATAAATTAGATTATTTTGGTAGAACAGGAATCGCTCAGTTGTCTGGGCTACTCGGAGGTGTTGTCCAATCATTGGAAAACGTTGCATCAGTTGATTTTCAGATTTCCAGGTCTCTTTATTCTTAGAAAAATCTAACTTGACTGGGTGTGGTGGCTCATGCCTGTAATCCCAGCACCTTGGGAGGCTGAGGTGGGAGGATCACTTGAGCCCAGGAGTTTGAGACCAGCCTGGGCAACATAGCAAAACCTCATCTTTACACACACACACACACACACACACACACACACACACACACACACACACACAAATTTTTTTTAATGTAAAAAAGGGGAAAAAGAAAGAAAGTCTAACTCTCATAAGAGTCACAGATCCCCAAAGCAATTTTGCAAATGAAGAGTTAATGATGTTCTCCAGTCCCCTAGATAGCAGTTTGCTTGCCCCTAACAGTGCGTCAATGCCAGGCCTAATATGAATGTATTATCTAAATAATCATTCATACTGCATGTGATCAGCACTCAATGCCTTCCTCTCATCACATTCACTCCTGGTTTGATCAAGTCAACACAAAAAGCTCTTCCCAGAGAACATCAGATTCGAAGGTTAAACGTGTTAATTATCCTTTTTTAAAGACAATGTACAGCACTGGATATCTCGTAGGATCTTCATCTCATTCCACGGCCTGGTCCAAGGAGCCCCACAGCGGGATCCTCCTGGCCCCCTCCTCTTGGTAAAGACAAAAAGATCAGGTTCCCTTCAGTCTGAGGTTTCTTGCCCTCCCTGAAACGCCCCAGTGTTCAGCAGGTGGGCAGGGATGAGGTTCGCCACATCCAGGGGCTAGTGTGGCCGCCTCTTTGCCTAGTGCTGTGGGTGCCCCGGAGCTCTGAGGCTCTTCCTGCTCACAGCCACACCTGAAGGAGCATCCTGATGGCAGGTGGGAGGCTCCTCAGGAAGTGATTCAGGCAAAACACCTTCCTTAAAAGTGCCTAGACCGAAACATCTTTATAGCTTTGTAATGTAAATGATCTTAAAGTCAAAATTTCAACAACATAAAGCAATGTAAGTGGGAGACTGTGCATGAAAAGGATGGAAAAGAGATTTTAGCTGCACCCAGTTAGAAAGAAAAGTGGAAGGAATGGATGGAGGGAGGAAGGGAGGATGAATATTTGGACCTCTACCCAGACTTTCATCACAAATGGGTCTTCATCTAAAAGCCAAGTCAGTTAACAGCTTTATTGCTGATGGACTTTCTATGTTAAACACACACATACCCCTTACTTTGTAGCAAGCAACCTTCAAATTATGGCACCAAATAGGCAAAATTGAAGAAGTATGTTTTCCCATTATATTAGCATTCATTAATCCACTTCTTCCTTCAATTATCCAATTATTTATTCAACAAACTTCTGCGCTATTTTCAGAGCAGCTTTCCAGGTACTGGGAATACTAAGCGAGCAAAGGTGAAATCCCTTCCTCAATGAAGTCCACATTACAGCAGGTCATACAGACCACAAACGCACACGATTTCAGGCAGTGGAGGGGGCTATGCAACACCGTCACTGCTTTACAAAACAAACCTCTGGGGCTCAGTCGGAGCTTTCATTCCCTCACCTCTTCCAGGACTGAAATCATTATGCTCTTTACTGATCATGTTATTATTGATTTTTTTTACTCCTTGGGAAACTGGCCCTTCAAATTCAAAGATATCTAACACTTTGCAGTGTCCAGAGTGGAGATGATGCATGCGAGTTACCCATGCTAAATCAAGTAGCGATTTTGGAAAGCCCCCGTTCTGTAGTAAGGGGTCTGGGAGATGTTCACACAAAACAGGAAATGTACACGCATGTGTTATTCTTTCCACGGCGACTGATCAATGTGGATCTCTAATCTAGCCACAGCGTGTTGTCAAGGGGACCGCACAGACACCATGGCCCCAGGTTAAAGAGGAAGCTCTAGCTGTGTTCACGGTCCCTTATCAACCTTCTCTCCTAATCCGAAGCCCTATCGTTTGCACGGGGGAGCTGGCTGCTCTCTGCGGATGTCTATCAGCGGCAAATGCTTTCGTTGCCTGGTTACTCTTGGAGA